TGAAAAGCTCTATTAATCCACATCTTCAGCAAGTTAGGATTTTCAGACTTTAATTTGCCATTCTGATGGGTATGAAATAGTATGTCATTGTAGTTTTCATTTTCATTTCCCTGCTGATTGAGCATCTTTTTCAAGTGTGTATGAGGCATCCAATTTTCTTTATCTCTGAATTTTGCATGTTTATGTTCTTTGCCTATTTTTGTTTTGGTCGTTTATCCTTTTTCTTACTGATTTTAGGAGTTTTTTAATATGTATCATGCTAATCTTTAGTTATCTTGCAAATCTTATGCTAGTCTATGACTTATCATTTCACTATATTTTCTGATGAACATAAGCTGTTAATTTTAATATAGGAAATATATCAATATTTGAAATAGAAAGTATATTTAAATAGCACATTTTTTAACTTCCAGATAAACTTAACTTAGAAATTATTTCCTCTATTCTAATTCTCAATTCCAGCACATCAAAATATAAAGTACATTTATAGGCATCACTTTATTTTATCATAGCTGAGTCAGCAGTCATCTGGAGGAAAATAATCGTTTAGAAAGAAACATTTTCATCTTATATGTTTTTTAAACTTTTAGTGTTACATGGTTTTTAACTATTTTGAAAAGAGTTACCAGGAATCATTGATAACATAAGAAAAAAAGAGTTTCAAGATTTTTATGAGGAAAAGACTAGTCATTTATAAAAATCATGTAATGATCATTTATAACTAATTAGTGATAATACATAAATGAAATATTATACAAAGTGTTCGCATAGCGTTTAGCCAATAGTAGTAGGTGTTGGATAGTTGTAGATGTTACAATTTTTTTTAATGTAACTAAAAGTTGGGACCTTATAAAATGAAAAGTTTCTTGGTATTTTGATTCTGTAATGTGGTCATATACTTTTAGGAAATAATGTCTTCTGGAATTCCAATCTAGTTTTAGGCTCTTGCTTTCTGGCTCTTTGAATTGGGTTTCTGTCTGAAGTGATTTCCAAATGTTTGAACCATTCGAAGCACAAAATGTCCAGGGCATGTTCATCAACTCCTTGTTCCTTTGCCCCATTTGATTAGGCGAGACAATAGAAGACGCTGTTCGGAGAGAAGTAGAAGAGGAGAGTGGAGTCAAAGTTGGCCATGTTCAGTATGTCTCTTGTCAGCCATGGCCCATGCCCTCCTCCTTAATGATTGGTTGCTTAGCTGTGGCAGTGTCTACAGAAATTAAAGTTGACAAGAATGAAATAGAGGACGCCTGCTGGTTCACTAGAGAACAGGTAAAGTTCAATTTAATTTCCTTCTTCTATTGATTGTTCTCTGACTGTATTGGTTTAGGCATGCAGCAAGGATACATGATTTCAACACGGGGAGTGAAT